ACTGTCTGCTACTGATACTTCCCATTACATATCTCTTCCTTCCAGGTAAAATTTATGTCTTTCCAGTGGTTCTTAACTCTAATTCATAATAGAGTCTCTTTTAGGGAGCTTTAAAATATATGTTTGGTTTATAGAAAACATTATTAAAATGAATGGAAGGTAGGATATCTCAGCATACAAGTGATGACTATAAAACAAGAACCAAAAGGAAATTCTAGAACTGAAAATTCCATTATCTGAAATAAATTCACTTGAATGTTATTAACAGAGTTTGAACACTGCAGAAGAAAGAATGAGTGAACTTGAAGAGAGATTTGATAGAAACCATTCAATCTGAAAAGCAGAGGTTAAAAAAAAAATTGAAAGGAAACAAGGAACAGAGTCTTGGTGACCTTTGGGACAATACCATGGAATATATTTAGAATTGGAGACTGAAAAGAAATGGCTGAACAAATGAGAAAAAAAATGGCTGTAATTTTCTCACGTGTAGTGCAAAACACCAAGTTACAAATTCAAAAAGCTTAGAAAATGCCAAAGAAAGATAAATATAAAGAAGACACCGCCTGGGCACAGCATAGTCAGTGGCTTTGTGCATGAAAAACGTTTTTTTTTTTTGCATTTGTAAGACCACTGAATGACAACTGACTTAAACAGTGGAGCTCAGAATCTTTGAAGCCGTGAGAGGAACCTGCTGAGTCATGATTCATTTATATCCAGTGAAAATATTTTTTTAAAACAAGGGCAAAATGAAGAAATTGTGGCAGATCGTATATTCCAAATAAGGCTACAACGATAAATGTAACTAGAATAAACATTCCAGTTATAAGGCTGAGATCCTCCAACTGGAAAAAAAGCCAGCTGAAATCATAAGCTGTCTAAAGCATATGGACTTTATTTTTTTTAACAAATATACATACATATTCTTTTTTTACATTCTATTCCATTATAGGTTATTACAAGATATTGAGTATAGTTCCCTATGCTGTACATTAGGTCCTTGTTAATTATCTACTTTATATATAGCAGTGTGTATATTTTGATCCCAAATTCCTGATTCCAGATAGAATGAAAGTAAAAGATGGGAAAAGACATACAATGCAACCAGTAAGTATAAGAAAGCCGGTGTGCCTCTCATTATTTCAAACAAAGTAGATTCAATATTAGGCATATTAGCAAAGATAAAGAGGGATGCATAATGATAAAAGAGTCAGTTCATCAGAATGACATAATGCTCAAAGATATGTGTATACCTAATAACAGAGCTTTAAAGACTTGAAGCAGAAATGGACATGATTAGTGGGAGAAATAGACAAATCTACAGTCATAGAAATTTTTAACACCCTTTGCTCAACAACTCATAGAACAACTAGTGAGAAAAAAAATCAGTAAAGTCATAGAAGTTCTGAAAAATTCCTCATCTACTTTGACCTAATTAACATTTATAGAGCACTGTACCCAACAACTGTAGAATACTCATTCCTTTTGCATGCACATGGTATATTCACTAAGGTAGATCATATTCTGGGCCATAAAACAAGTTTTGATAAATTTAAAAGGTTTGAAATTGTACCAGAGTATGTTTTCTGGTTGCAAAGGAATTGAATTAGAAACCAAAAACAATAAGATATTTTTTAAAAAACTTCCATATCTGGAATTTAAAGAGCATACTTCTAAATAATCCATGAATCAAAGGAGAAACTACACATAAATTAGAAAATATTTCAAGCTGAATGATAATGATACTGCAACATATCAAAATTTATGGGAAGCAGCTAGAGTAAGGGTTAGAGACTGTAAATGTTTATATTTGTAAATAAGAGAAGGTTAAAATCAATTATCTCATTTGCTATTTGAGAAGCTAGAAAAAGTCAAAATAAACCCAAAATAAGTAGAAGAAAGGTAAAAACAAAGAGAAGAAATCTATGAAATAGAAACAGAAAATGAACCTGAAGAAGAAAGAAAATTAATGTAGATCATATAGTTATTTGAAAAGATTAATAACATTTATAAATCCCTAGCAAAATTCATCAAGAAAAAGAGAGAAAACTCAAATTACCAAAGTCAGAATAATAGGATATCACTATGATCATTAAAGATAATAAGAGAATAGTGTGAACAACTTTATGCCAGTATATTTGACAGCTTAGATAAAAGAGACAAATTCCTTGAAAAACGTCACTTGCCAAAACAAATACATGAACAAATAGAAAATCTGAATAGCACCATATGTATTAAAAGATTTGAATTTATTATAAAAAACCACACACACACTCAAACAAAAACAACAACAAATAGCCTTCGGGTCCAGGTGGTGCTATTGGTGAATGCCATCAAATCTTTACAGAAGAAATAATACCAATCTTATAAAAGTCTCAAGAAAATTGAGCTTATTTTATAAGGCCAGCTTGATACTGATACCAAAACCTTACAAAGGCATCATAGAAGGAGAAAATTATAGACTATTATCTCTCATGAATGCAGACCCAAAAAATCCTTAAGAAAAGTGTTAGCAAATCAAATCTAGCAAATATGTGAAAAGGACAATACATCATGACAAGTGAAATTTAGCCCAGAAATTCAAGGTAGGTTTAACATATTAAAGTCCATCAATTTGATTCATCATTTTAATAAAGGAGAAAAGCCATAAGATCACCTCAATAGATGTAGAAAAATATCATTTGACAAAATTCAAAACTCATTCATGATAAAAATTTATACCAAACTTGGAACGGAAGTTAATTAATCTGATAGATGGTATCTATGAAAATGCTAGAACTAACCTCATATGTAACAGTGACATATTGGATGCTTTCCCTCTAAAATTAAGAATAAAACAAGCAATTCTGTTTTCACCATTTCTATTTAACATTGTACTGGAAGTCCTAGCCAGGGCACTTAAGCAAGAAAGACAAAAGGAATAAAGACTGGAAAAGGAGAAGTAAGACTGCGTTTAGTTGCAGACAATATGATTGCTTATGTAGAAAATCCTAAACAATCTACAAAACAACTAGAAATACATAAATTTAGCAATATCATAGGATACACGATCAATGCAGAAAAATCAGTTGTGTTTCTAAACATCAGCACAAAAACAATTTGAAAATAAAATAATCTAAACCAATTCCACTGAAAATAGCATCAAAAACATTTGGGAATACATTTACAAAAGATGTGTACAATTTGTACACAGAAAGCTTACAAAATATTGTCAAGATAAAGTAAGAAAGATCTAAAACAAAACCATCTCATTGATTGAAAAACAATATTGTTAAAATGTCAATTCTTCTCATCAATCACCACATTCAATGCAATGCCACTTAAAATCACAGCAGGATTTTATTTTTTTTAACATCTTTATTGGAGCATAATTGCTTTACAATGGTGTGTTAGTTTCTGCTCTATAACAAAGTGAATCAGCTATACATATACATGTATCCCCATATCTCTTCTCTCTTGTGTCTCCCTCCTTCCCACCCTCCCTATCGCACCCCTCTAGGTGGTCACAAAGCACAGAGCTGATCTCCCTGTGCTATGCGGCTGCTTCCCACTAGCTATCTATTTTACGTTTGGTAGTGTATATATGTCCATGCCACTCTCTTACTTTGCCCCAGCTTACCTTTCCGCCTCCCCGTATCCTCAAGTCCATTCTCTAGTAGGTCTCACAACAGGATTTTTTAATTGAATATTTTAATTTATATAAAACTTATATGGAAATGCAAACAATTTCAGGAAAAAAAAAACAGTTGGAGGACTTAAACTACCTGATTTCAACACTGTATAAAGCTACAGTAATCAAGATAACATGGTACTGGCATAAGGATAGAAAATTAATAAATCCATGGAACAGAATATAGAGTCCAGAAATGGAACATATATATAATCAATTGAATTTCAACAAAGTCAGTAATATTATTCAATGGGAAAAGAAAGTCTTTTCAATAAATGATGTTGCAACAACTGGATAAACATATGGAGAAAAATGAATTTCAATTCCTGCTACCCTGGCCTCACAAAACTGATACAAGGGGTGGAGCTGGAGGCTCCCAGGTTCCCTTCTCTCCTACTCAGTCCCCAGCCCTTCAGTCACCCTGTGAGCAGGACCTAGCCTTGTGCCACTTTCTGAATACTGGACTTCACAGAACTTGGTCCCAGCAGAGTGCCCAGTGTGTAGGGACAGCTGGAAGGGCCTGACCCATGTAGGGACCCCCCCTCTTGGCCCATTTGGTTTCACGTGCCAATTAGTCTCCAGCAGTTTTGTTTCCCAAGGGCTTTAAAGAATATACAGAGAAGGAAAACCCCGAAGAAAGGCTTAATAAAGTGGATTCCTCCAGCTTGCCTGACTGCAGGAGCAGCAGGGTTAAGAAGAGATGGCATGAAGTCCTGAGTGCGAAAGTCAGATGACAGACCTGGAATTACGGGAACATGCAAGGCGGTGACGGGGGAGGTCGGGAGCCTAATGGTGACCTGAATTCAGATCCACCGCTTGCTGCCTCTGCGACCTTCATTCTGTCCACCCACGTGTTCATTGAGTGTCTGCTCCAGCCAAGCACCTGGTTACTGAGATGCTAAGATCAAGCCTCTGTCTCAGAAGCTTGGCACTGGGACAGAGCTGCAAAGTGACTCTGAAGGCAGTGATATTCATGCACACACCCTGCCAATGAGGGTGGAAGGAGCAGAAGCTGAGAGTGGGCAGAAGGCTGTAGTCAGAAGCCCAGAGCGGTAGCTCGGGAGCGTCGTTGGCCCTGGTAAGGGACCCGCTTCAGGAAGGGTTTTTAACGCCAACTCCCGTCTTTTTTCCGGTTCAGAGGAAGACGGAGCTTCTTATTGGCCCGGCACTGATTGGGCAATACCCGCGTGAGACTAGGCGGGGCCATCCGCTCTCCTATTCACCCCAAACCCGCGAGATCAGCGCGCCAGGTCTGAGGCATCCCGCAGACCTCCACAACTAGCAATCAGAAGCGGACTTGCCCGCGTTCCGCAAAAGACACTCTCGATCCCTGATGGCTCTGCCGGCTGTCACCTCGCGGCGACCAGAACAGCGAGCGCTCCCCGACCGCACGAGGCAGCGGGGACACAGCGCGCCGGCCGCCTCGGGCTCCCGGGCCTCGGTTCCTAGTCCCAGGCCTCCGTTCCGGGGCCCCAGGGCTCTCATCTTCGTCCTTTTGGGTGTCCTGCTGTCGGTGAGTCCCTATCGCGAGTCCTGGCTCCGGAAGGCGCGCTTGGCGGCCGGGAAAGGGGGTGGGGGCGGGGCGTGGGGTGCCTGCCCGAGTCACCTGCGGTCCGGGTTGTCTGAGCGGGACCAGCAGTGGGCAGAGTCGGGAGAAGGAGCAGAGTCATGACCCGGCAGGACCGACCGGGCCCAGAGGGAGAAAAGCCCGCGTTCCTAGGCTTGTCGTGGCTGCCCCAGAAGTAAATTCCAGAGAGGAGTTGAAAACTCCTTAGCAAGCCTTGATGTGGCCCGGCCCTTCCCTCTCATTACCATACTCCACTTCGCACCCCCTCTCCCTTCCTTTCCTTCCCAGCTTCCTTCCTCCCCTCTCCCTTCTCCCCTCCCCTCCCCTCCCCTCTTTTATGCCTCTGTTTAAATTCTAAAACATGCTCATTGCATCTATTCTTCCCATTGATTTTTACAGATAAGTAGCTTTCCCATCCTCCCTTGCATTCAGCACCCCTTCTTAGCTGCTGTGAGCAATTTGCCAAATTCCTTCCGGGCACTTTCTTCCACAGCAACATACAGGGCTTACAGGGTAAACAACCAGTAATCATACAGCTGACCCCAGGGGCTCTGTCTTTAGTTTAGGAGGAAAGGGTGTGAAGCTTTTATTTTGATTTCCATTTTGAGATCGAAACAGGTAAGGTGTGCATCCTGGAAAAACTATTTAATGGCTGCCCTGAGCTAGGAGGCGGAAGGCTTTAGTCTTAACCTAGCTTGTCTTTTTACCTATACAACAACCATCCAAACCCACAAAAATCTCAGAAGAAACAGACCTCAGACCACAAGAAGACCTTTGAGAACAAGTCTGACGCACTATGTCACAGCTGCTCAGGTTAAGAGTAAAAGACAAATACTGAATGATATTACCTATATCTGGAATCTGAAAAATACAACAAACTAGTGAATAAAACAAAAAAGAACCAGACTCGTACATATAGAGAACAACCTGGTGGTTACCAGTGGGGAGAGTGAAGCAGGGAGGGGCAATATAGGGATAAGGGGAAAAGAAGGGTTGTTATGGGATTATATGAAATCACGTGTGTGAAACGTTTGAAAATTGTAAAGCACTAGAGAATTTAAAGAATCTTTAAAAAAAGTAATGGTGCAGCTTTAGGGTGTGTTTGTCCGGGCAAGCAAAGAGTAGTGTTTGTTTGGTTGACTCTTATCAGGAAAAAGAGAGAGTGAAGATCAAACTAGACTGTTTTGCCCTCTAAGGGGTGGGCTGGGGGGAGGGCGGGAAGCAGGAGAGGGAAATCCCTGCTCATGATTCATCTCTGGGCAGAGCAGGGTCAGTAGAGTCTACACAGGACTCAACTTAACACACTTCCACATCTCCTCCTTCCTTCTCATTTCCTCCCTCTTTTTTTTTTTTTTTTTTGCCATGCCGGCAGCATGTGGGATCTTAGTTTCCCAACCAGGGATCGAACCCTTGACTCCTGCAGTGGAAGTGGGGAGTCATAACCACTGGCCTGCCAGAGAAGTCCCCTCGTTTCCTTCTCTTTTGTCCCATACTGCTGCTCCAGTGCAGCCCTCCTGTCTCCCTCCTCTGTCTCTGTCTCTGTCTCTGTCTCTCTCTCTCTCTCTCTCACACACACACACACACACACACACACACACACACACACACACACACACACACCCTGCCCCCACAGACACACAAGTCTGTGGGTCGGCAAAGCCTCAGATCTCCACTGCACCTGGGTGCCTCAAACAGGGTGCAGTGGGGATTACACACTAGGAAGCCTCCTCCTTGCCCACCCGCTCCCCCTTTTACTTTGACTTCGTTCTTGTCTGTGATCCTGTCTGTGTGGACTTTTCACTCCATGTCCACCAGTATCCCTGCCACCAGTACCATTGTCACCTCTGCCTTGCAGCCCTTCCAGGCTCTTTTCAGCTTGGTGACCTTGGTGGTGTTTATGGGGGTGTGGGGGGTCTTTGTGTCTCTGCCTCAGCTCCCTGTGGTCGGAACTGTCCCTGCACAGGGCTGCTCAGCAAGCTCCAGACGTGCCTCCCCTGAATGCACATGGGTTCTAAGATGCCTGCACTAATGCTGGTATGATGTCCTTGTCCTGTTCTAGGGGGTATTTATGGTGGGAAATATGACTGGCAGGTTGGGAACAGAACAGAGGTAACTGAATGTCCTGTTGAGAGATTGCCCAGGTCCAAAGGCACCATGGAGTCAATTTCAAGTTTTCAGTTGATGTTACCAAAGATTTTTAAAAAGGCACCATTTGTAGTGTTAAAAGTGTCAGAGGGCTTCCCTGGTGGCGCAGTTGTTGAGAGTCCGCCTGCCGACGCAGGGGACCCGGGTTCGTGCCCCGGTGGTACAAAAAAAAAAAAAAAAAAAAAAAGTGTCAATTCATCAGGAAGACATCTTAATCATAAATATTATGTGCCTAATAGTAGAGCTTTAAAATATCAATACGTAAGGCAAAAACTGATGAAATTAAAGGACTATCATATCACCCTTTAATGAAGATGAAAAAGGGTAGTAACACTGTCAACCACCATGGGAATTCCCCCACAGTCCAGTGGTTAGGACTCTGTGCTTTCATTGCGGAGGGCACCTGTTCACTCCCTGGTTGGGGAACTAAGATGCCGGAAGCCCTGCGGCACAAATTAAAAACAAATTAAAAACACACTTAAAAAAAAGAACCAGAAAAAACCTATCAACCACCTTGACTTAATTGACATTCAGAGAGCACACTGCAACATCTAATCAAGTCTCATTCTTTTTTGACGAACGTGGTACTTTCATCAACATAGACCACATTCTGGACAATTTTAAAAAGTCTAAATAAGTTTAAAAGCAATGAAATCGTATAGACTCTGTTCTCTGACTTCAAAGAAATTACATTACTAGTCAAGAATGGTCTCTAGAAAAAAACTCCAAAATTTGAATTTAAAGGCAACATACCTCCAAAGCATTCATGGTTCTTAGATGAGATCAAAAGAGAATTTTTTTAAATTTCAAAATAAATAAATTTCAAAATAAATAATAATGGAAATTTGTGGAAGGCTGTGCTTAAACTGTGTAGTTTGCAATTAAAGACCTTCCTTCTATTAAAAGAATAGGGGGTTGGGAGAAATAGGGAGTAAAATTTTAAAACATAAAAAATAAAATAAAATCAGTGACTGGAAGATCCACATTAATCACCATAAAATAAGTGCAAATTAAACTCAAAAGAATAAGAAGGAAATAATAATAATATGAGTAGAAATATGAGTAGAAATCAATGAAATAGAATACAAATAGTTAAAGGAATTGACAAACCAAGCATTGATTCTTTGAAATAATCAACAAAATGAATAAAATAAAATCAATAAACCAAATTTTAAAAGAAACAAAAGCAAAAAAAAAAACCCAGTATCAAGAATTAATGATGGGATATTATTACAAACTCTGCAACCATGAAAAGGATAATAAGGGGATCTTATGAATAATAATTTTATGCTGATAAATATGACAACTTGAATAAAATGGACAAATTCCTTGAAAAATACTACTTAGCAAAACAGATACAAGATGATTGTACTCAGGTCCTGGACATTGCTCTAAGTCAGAGGAGAAAGGCATAAAGATCGGAAAGGAAGAAATAACCAACTGTATTCATTTTCAGAGAACAACTGCTAGAACTAAGTGAATCTAGCAGGTCATAGCATGCAAGTCCGGGAGCATAGGAGGCAATAGGATTGTGTGAGCAGAAAAAGAGGACGCAGCCATTACCTAAACTCAGAGGAGGCCCAGCCTGGAAAAGGGAGGACTAGAGGGACACACATTAGCACAGCTGTCTCTAAGTTCTTGAAAGAATTTTATGTGTCAGAGGGCTGCATTTTGTCTTATTTGGATCCAGCGAGTCAAACTGGGCTCCACATAACTTGTTTTTGGTTCAGTCTTCTTCTTTTTAAAATTTAACTTCCTGACTTAAAACACTCTCAAATTACAGAAAATTGCAAAAACCGTACTAAATACATTTCCTTGAACCATCTGAGAACAAGTCAATGACAGAATGCACATCACCCCTTAACGCTTCAGTGGGGGTTTCCAACAAACCAGAACATTCTACCCCCATAGTTAAATGCAGCCTTCAGAATCAGAAAATTAACATCCAAAGGGTACTATCAGCTAATCCTCAGACCCCATTCATATTTCTCCAGTTGTCTGTATGATATCATTTATTGCACAGAGATCCTATCCTGAATTGCTATTTCATCTTTTTCTGTGACTCCTTGATATTTAGTGGAAAATTGACAGACTCTTTTTGCGGACAGGTTGTCAACTTCTTTTTTATTTTATTTACTTATTTACATGTATGTTAGATGATTTTGTATTTTTCCTACGTGCCTGTTATGGGCTGAATTGTGCTCCCCCACCACCAAATTCATATGTTTAAATCCTAACTGACAGTAGCTCAGAATAAGACTATGTTTGTAAATAGGGTCTTTAATTTATTTAATTTTTTAAATAAAAAATATTATTCAATTTATTTAAACTGAAAACCAAAACCATACAAAATAGTTCATCCATTTCACCCATCCTGCACTCTCACCCCACCTCTTGCAACCATCAATCTGTTCTCTGTATCTATGAGCTTTTTTTTTTTTAATTTTTTTTTAGATTCTGCATATAAGAGAGATCATATGGTATTTTTCTTTGTCTGACTTTTTCACCAAGCATAATGCCCTCAAGGTCTACCCATGTTGTCATGCATGGAGAGATTTAATTTTTTATGGCTGAATAATATTCCACTGTGTTTATATATATATATACCACAATTTCCTTATACATTCACCCATCAAAGGACACTTCAGTTGTGTCCATATCTTAAGTATTGTAAATAATACTGCAGTGAACATGGGGTGCTTATACCTTTTTTAGTTAGCGTTTTCATTTTCTTTGGATAAATGCACAGAGGTGAAATTGCAGAATCATATAGTAGTTATATTTTTAATTCTTTGAGAAAT